GTCAATGTTACTGTGGATGCTGAGGTTCCTGTGTGTGTGTGTGTGTGTGTGCAGTCAATGTTACTGTGCATGCTGAGGTTCCTGTGTGTGTGTGTGTCCAGTCAATGTTACTGTGGACCCTAAGGTTCCTGCGTGTGCAGTCAATTCTACCGTGGATGCTAAGGTTCTCATACGTTTAAGCAGGAAGCCTACAAATGCAAGGTTTTCTAGCACAGTGTAACCAACATTAGTAAAGGGGTTAAAACCTGCTTTTTCAATGTCCTTTTGGCTTTTGACCAAGACTTTATAGAATTAACACTGGCAGACTCACCTGGATTGTTCGAATGAAGGACACTGTCACCCGTTCTTCAAATTCATTCAAGGGAGTGTAGAGGTTTAAAATTTTGACAATCTGTTGGAATGAAAGCAGAGTTCAGCACAGAACTTGACACACTGAAGGCAACTCTGACATTTAAGACTCTGTGACCATGGTGTCACAAAGCATTTAACTCTCTGAAAAGACCCCTCAAGGTGTGTGATTAGGCCGCCATTTATGGTGTGTTTCCACCCTTGGCTCACCCTGTGAGGCTTGAGCTCCTGTATGACGCTCATGTCCTCGATGCCACTCTTCCCCTATGCTTGGTGGCTTATACATGACTTCAGAAAACTCCTATCTGTAACTCCCAGCCTCTTTCCTGCCAGTAACCTAAGGCTCTTCAGGAAAGAACCAGGATCTTGTATGAGAGACGGCTTTCTTAACTGCATGTAACCACCCTCTTCTACCTCTTAAGAAAATTAATTTACAACTGAGATTTTTCTTAACCAGACAGTCTTTTGCGTGCCCATCAACTATTTTAGTGGGAGTATCCTACTGAATACAAGGCCAGGGACAGGCAATAAGTAACCTCACAGAAGTGAAATGTTTACTGGGGCAGGGAGCTGGGAAACTAAGAATGTGCAGGTCTTAAGAATTCTCAGGTTCATTTCAGAAGTCAGGAGGGAAGAGAATCATGTGTCTTCACCTTACTGAGTTTGGTTGGCTGCATAGGTATTCGTTGGGAAGAATATGTATTTGATTGGGAAAGTCTGGTTCCCTTTTATTGGTGTCTGTGGCCCATTTCTTAGGAGCTGTGACCAAAGGCAAGATCTAGGACTTTTATCTCTTTATAGACTAGTCATATGTCTACAACCAAATTATAGTATATAAATACAAATTTGGGGAGAGGAATTTAAAATATTTAAGTACCTTTAAATTGCTAAGGCTTCATTTAAAATGATACAAATGGAGTCTTAAAATATGGCCATATAAAAATTACAGTTGTAAAGAAAATATATAAAGAAAGCAAACAGCTTCATGTTGAGAGATTCAGAAAAAAAAATTCTAGGTAAGGAACCATCTGGAATTGTTCTTAAAAAATAGCAACATGAGGCATGCAAGATGTATCATTGGGTGAGGTCTCCTGCCACAAGATGGCACATTGGGTAAGGACTCCAGCAACCATGCCTGGTTATCTGAGGCCAATCCCCAGAGCCCACATGGTAGAAGAGAGAACCGACTCCTCCCAGTCAACCTCTGACCTCCATACACACATATAGCACATGTGAACATGCACATGTAATTTTAGAGTTGTTATCGAGGTTTGTGGGTCTTGTAACTTAGTACACAAGAAGGATCAGAAAGTTACAGGGAACTGACGTCAGGTTTTATAACCAAGGTGATCTCTGGTTCATCTTATCAGTTGCAAATCTGAAACTGTGTCAATGGGCCTGGAAGCACACCACTAGAAAACTCCTGGCAAGAACAGATCGGAAGGGCGAGCACTGGTCTTGAACCGCTGTACCTGCTGGGTAGTGAGGGAGGTACACAGAGAGCAGATGGCCTCAGCATCTTCATGGGTTTTCTTCTTCAGCTGGAGGAGCTGGGCTGCCTGGATCAAGGGCTCCATGGTCTGAACTGCTCCACTCTGGTGAAGGTTTTTTCCCCGAAGCCACTCTTCGAGTTGACTTATGTTGTACCTTAGCCAAGGCAGAAAAGGAAGCTGTGTTAGGCCTTAATTCATGGGGTGGGAGATGGGGAGGGGCACCTGCTGTGCTGTGTTGTGCAGGTGACAGTGCCCTCACTTCAATTGTCTCGCAGGGTTAAAAAGCTTGCAAGGTGGGGTAGGGAGATAGCTCAGTTTGTAAAATGTTTGCCTTGTAAGCAAGAGGGCCTGAGGTTGATCCCGACACACACACACACACACACACACTCCAAACACACAACAAAACCACAAACAGGTGAGGTAGCACTCAGTTATAACCCTGGTGCTGGGCTGAAGAGAGGGACTTTAGACTACTTTGGTGAGTTCCAGGCCAGTGAGGGCTTGTGTTTTGCTTGTTTTTGTTAGAGGTGGATGCTTGAGTTGTCCTCTAACCTCCACTTGTTCACCCACACGTGTATGAACCACTACGTGCACATGTGTGTTAAAAAAGATTCAGCAAAGTGCCTAGAATTCAGTAACCATATATTGAATGAAGAATGAATAGTTGGATGCATGCTTAAAATTAAGCAAAGAAGGAATATCTAATGTGTCTATATAGATTAACAGGGAGGGAAGCATTAAATATACTGAATTATAATTTGTATTTAATTTACAACCATTCAGACTTCCTTGACAGCCTTGATAAGTCCTGATCCATCTTTCTCGCTGCCCTGGCCACACTGCATTAGTCTTAATTAAAGGGTATTTGAGCATCTCCAGGCTAGTTTGGCCATCACTGCTTTGTGAACTTCACTAGTTAATAAGAAGGTGAAGGGTTTGAGTTATACCAATTGTGGGAAGGGCTACCAGTTAAATGTGGATTTCACCTGTGTTCTGACCCCAGCCTGTGTTGGGACCCTCTGACTCTGGAGATTGGTTCTAATGCTTTGTCTTAATTTGGCTCCCCAAATCACATGGGAATCTAGTGTCCAGATGCTGAGGGTCTCTGTCCCCAACTGGTTTTTGATTGGTCAATAAAGTTTATAACAGCCAATGGCTGGGCAGGGAGATGAAGGCAGGACTTTTAGATTTCCGGGGACAAGGGAGGAAGAGAAGGAGGAGGAGGAGCAAAATTACCGTGATGGGAATGCAGAGAGAGCAGACTTAAGGGCCGCAGGAGAGAGACAGCCCACTGACATGTAAGAGTCAGGAAAAATGGCCCCAGGAGCCAATTCCCCCCAAAACTGAGTCTGGAGTAACAGAGATGAAATATAGATTTAGCAAGTATTAACTCAGGAATATCGGAGGGTCATGTGTTAGCCACATGGAGATTCAGGAGTGTCCCAGCCACTGAATTAGTTAAGACGTATCAAAATATAAAGGTTACATGTACGTGTGTGTGTTTTCATTCAAGAATCCAGAGAACTCTGGCGGGTGGTGAAAAGTTCACACCTGCCGAGAGCTCAGAGCAGATTAACAGATTGTCACTCCAGCTCTCCACGTGCTGGCTGCTGGCGTGAGTCCCCTCTCACCTGAGTTGCATGCCTGTGCTCCAGGAGCAGGCGTCTTTCCGCAGGAGTAGGTTGTTAAGAGTCACAGCGTTGATCATGTAGAAGAGCTGTTTGAACACCTGCAGGATAATCTCAGGGTCCAGGCCCTGGTCACACAGGACTGTATGAAAAGAATTCATCTGGCGTACGATGGCCTCTAGGCAATACGAATTCTCTCCATCCACCATGCTGGAGGAGCGCTTCCGGTAACCAGTTGGCCTCACACCAGACAGCCCCTGGATACTCTCATTTTCCAACATGGCAGAAACTGAAAAGAAGGCAAGGTTAGAAGGTCGTATGTTCCCCTCAAAACTCTGCTGTAAGATCACTCAGGTCAATGAAACCGTTCAGATATGCACGGGGTCAACATATGCAGGGACTCAATACATTTGGCAAAGAATTTTGAATCTGGTGACTTTCCATCTTGAATAAAGTAACTATGGTACATAATGTTTCTTAAACTCATTGGTGTTTGGACAAAAATAATGGATATGTACTAGCTGAACTCTGTACTAGCTCTGTCAAGTACCTAAAGTTTAAGAACTGAGCCAACTCTGGTAGGGTTCGAGCCCAGGCACCAACTGTGTAATTATTAGGTTAGTTGCTTCAACATCCTTATTCAATAGCATTTAACTGTGTACCAGGTGGTGCTTTATGGACAGGACCTCTTTCATTCATCCAGCAGCCCTATGAGGCACTACACACTTTACCAATGAGCAAAATGAAGCATAAAGACATTGTATAATTTGGCTACAGAAACACTGTTAGGAAGAGTGAGCACTAGGATTTGAACCCAGGTCTTATTCAGGAACTGGTGCAATCAACCAGATTATTCCAAGTTTTGCAACATATCCAGCATGATAAATCAGTTCTTCTTCTACTGGTCTATGGGAAAACTTAAACCTTAAAAGAAAACTAGATAGGAAGGAGGATTTGGTATGAATTTATCCCAGGAACAATCCTTCTGAATTGGTCCTTTCACTCAGCCTGTTTGTGTTGTGAGGACCTAGAGATGCCATTACACAGATCCAGGTTTAACTTCTTTCTCTGCCTTCATGGAGAGCTGAGTGGCAAACCTGAACCAGTCTACTGTTAGAATGTAGCTGTTCTTTCCATTCTGATTTCATGTCCAACACTCAAGTGTACTCATTGCTGTGTGCAAAGTAAGCGAACAGGATTGCCCTGTGCTTCTGCAGCTTGATTCACAAGCACCTCCCTGGCAAGAAGAGACTGTCTTCATTGTGTTTGCACTCACACCATTATAGTGCTTGTAGAAATTACTACAGGAAAAAACATTAAGGAAAGCTACCTCGCTTTGCTGGCCTTGTGTTTTTATAGTATGCTGTTGAAAATTCCCTAAGTCTTAAGCGCAATGTGTAGTACTACATGCCTTCCCCAGAAAGGCCCTGGCTTGGAGGCCACAGCTAGTAACACTTGGTTCCTAAAAGGCAAGGCAAGCCTGCCACAACCTTCCTTCTCCAGACTCCAAGATGTGTGCAACGCCAACTTACCTATCATAGGTTGTAACAAGCCCTCGGCAATTTTAATGAGTTGCTGATAGATCTGAATGGAAAGGTCGCTTAGCACCTGACGGTATTCAGTGAGGTCAAAGTTCTTGAGACAGTGTTCATTCTGCTTCGCAGTGTTCTGTGTCATGAAGCCCTGAAGAGGAAAGGTGTGCATCAATAAGCTTCTGGGGTCCCCCGGGCTCCATCTACCTCCTGGGCTTGGGCACTTTAACAACGTCCCATTTGCAGGGCTCCACCCTCAGGCCTTCCCTACACGTGTAAAGCTCTAGAAAGCATGAGGCCTTTGGGATGGCCCTGGACCTTGAAGGTAGTGGAAATCTCATGACAGACAAGTCAAATTATGTAAACCAAAGGGCATAAATCATATGGATCCTCAAGATAAAGTTAGTTCTATATATGGAGTATCCTAAATCAGAAAAAAGTAATGAAGGAGGGATTCACACTTCCTGGATGTTTATCTGGTAATATCTGCATTCAGATTTCCCTAAAATCTTAGGCTACATAGGGCCTTACAGGAATATGGCATAGGCCAGGTTCTGTTTGTAGGAGACATCTACAGACGCTTGTCATCTTATCAGTTAATGGAATGGTATGAGGATGGCACTATCTCTTGGGCTGCTGGACTAGGATGAACATGTAATCTGGACCAAGTACCAACATCACAAAGACTCCTGTGACCAAAGCCTTTCTAGTTTCATCTTTTTTTTGTTTTGAGATGGTCTTTCTGTATCATTTAGGTTGTCCTCAAACTTGGGGTACTCCTTCCACAGCCTCCGCGTGCCACTGAGCCGAGCTCTGAGGTCCTTTTCAGTCAGGCCAAGAGGAATTAACAGAAAGCCAGAAAAATCAGTACTGTCATAGAGGCAGCCATTCCTCAATCTGTGACCCTTATCTCAAATTACAAGGCAAATTTTAATAAGAAAATGGGTGGAAACAGGAGAGATTGTTAAGGGGTGGGGTACTCTGCTCCACTTTGCTGTTTAGACGACACAGAGCCGGTTACACTGTGGTTTATCTTGTTCCCGAGAACAGAAGCACAAGGAGCAGTCCAGTGTCACGGGAGCCCTTGGTCTTGCCCTTTCATAACACTGTTGGAATACACAGTAATGGTGCTAGAGCTAATTGTCAGCCTGACAAAGGTCTAGGGTCACCTGGCAGCCAGGCCCCTGGTGGGAAGGCACACCCTGAATGTGGACTACACCGTTTCAGTGCTGGGCTCTGGACTGAAGGAAAAGGCAAGAGGGAGCCAAGCCAAGTACCACAGGCCTGCATTTATCCCTTGCTCTCTGCATCTCTCTGTGGATACAATGTGACCAGCTTCAAGTTTCTGCAACCTTGGTTTCTTACAACAGATGGTCAGTAGCCAGGGTTTGTGAGCCAAGTAAATCCTATCTCAATTAAGTTTTTGTCAGGGTACTTTGTCACAAATGAAACTAAGACACTGTGGAAAGCAGGACTCTTAATGAAATGCTAGAAAGTTTTCCCACACAGAAAGAGCTCGTAGGAAACTGAAGGCATCTGTTCAAAACAAAGGGCACTTCTTTCACCTTTACCATCCCTTTCAGAGTAAAATCAAGTGCCCAAACTCAAGTTCTAAATCCTAAAGGGAGGTAGGATCAAACCACATTCCAAAAATGACTGACTGGGCTGGAGATTAGTTCATTACTCTCTGGAGGACAGTGTTCCTATTTTATATGGCACAAAAGATTAAAATACTGTTGCACTGTTTTAATTTTTGCTACACCTTGACTTTGGGCAGGGTTAGATGTGTGAACGTCTGGGAGAGCATGGAGTCTAGACCTTGTTGGAATGTGGGAGGCAGCAGGCACTGGTGAAGCTGGACCGTGTACTGTCTATGCCATGAAGCTGGAGATACCGAATCGCAGAATGGCAGATGGTAATCCTCCCATGATAGGAATGTGAGTTCTAGAAAACGCTGGACTGAAGAGGTCCAGAGTGGAACATGAAATGATAGCCTCAGGTCAGTGAATCAAATCAAGCATGAAGCTGGGCCTCCACATCAATTTGTACCATGTGGCTCTGGATAGGAGCATGTCTCTTCTGGTGGCATCTTTATTCTGAAGTGGACAGAGCCCAAGAAACAGCCAAACACACCAGACACTTGACCTTTCTCCCAGTCTTCACTGATATAGCTCCTCTGGGACAGCTTTAGAAATTCGAGTCCTAAGGGTACCCTAGGGAGTCAAGGGGCTTTCTGGTACTGTGTGGTTAAACAAACTCATTACAACACCTGTTCTCTCTCTTGATTTTTCAGAGTTCTTGAGCCCACTCAAGCCCAGAGTCACCTGTGCCCCCACCCAGTCCTGCAAAGGCGTTCCCACAATCCGCAGTCCCGGTAGATGCCCCACAGACTTTACAACCATCATCTAAGGGGGATCCACAGCACTCCAAACTGCAAGTGGAAAAACTGGGGCCCACCTTGGGGCATTCTGCTCACTCCTCACCTCATCACCACTGTACTGCTTCAAACAGTGAAGGAAGCGGCAGGTGTTGGATAACCAGAATGATGTCATCTCAAAGTCATCATTATGCTTCTGTGGGAAGAAAAGCACAGCATTGGCTGAGTGCCTCCCATTGGCTGACATATATCCCCAGTGCCTTTCTCGTTCTGTTTCCTGTGTCACTCATCAATTCCTGGACAGCCCAGTGTATGCAGTCCACTTTCCAGTCCCAGAAAAGATAACCTTTGCTGAGAGGTTTGCTGTTCCTTCACTCCCCAGTCTCCTGATGAGTGATGTATGGCCCTGCACACATGGGAAGATCCCACTGACTCCCATAGGTGAAGACAGCGAAGCTGAGTGGTACAAATGAAGCTTAGGTCCAGCAGCACTGGGCTCTAGTCTGGTCTGAAACTTGGACTGGCCAACTCTGATTCTGAGCTATACAAGGCGTGCTAGAGAGCATAGCAGAGAAATATGCTGGTGTCCCATTGGTGTTCAGTGGCAAGAAACTAAGTGACCAAGGCTGCTTAGCAACCAATATATAACTTGATCCATCCAGTTTCTGCATTACCTCCACTGATGTTGCAGAACCCATTCTGTAAATGTATTTATCTGGGATTATTGACATGGCAATGAGTATGAGCTGTGACATAAAACAAGGCTGACCACATAGGCTATGGGGCCAGAGCAGGCTAATCTAGCCCAGAGCTATGGAGGCCCCCCTAAGGAAGTGACATTTGTAGTCCTAGGCTGTCTCAGACTCTAGCTGGAGCTTGTAAAAGAGGTCAAGGCCAGAGACACCAATATGAGAGTGATCAACAAGTACAAGTGCATGATACACGTCACAGCAATTAGCAGATACATCGTGTGGATGGATCAAGTCAGGGAAGGCAGGGCAGCTGCCAAGGGCTTGCAGCCGGGAGCTTAAGACTAACGTGTTCTCAAATCAGGGATCATAGGCTCAGGGACCTGGCGTGGTCTGGCTGCAGGGTTCCTTAGGGTGACTTCACCTGCTGGAAGCAGCAGTGTCAGGGAGAATTTGAGTCAGTTTCTGACGTAGGATTGTCACTGTCACTTAGGTCTAATCTCCCTGTAAAGTCCCCTTCCTACTGATTGACTCCAGCTCTTTTGTAAAAATGCCTAGCCCCTAAACAGGCTAGCCAGTGATGCCAGCAGCTGCTACTACATTCCGTAAGAGTCTTAAGAGTCCTAAGGTGGCATTTGTGGGCTGTTTTACCCCCACTGTCACAAGCAGCTGGTTCTGCTTCACTTTATAAACCTATGAATGGCAGAAGCTCTGCTGTGCCACCAACCAGGATTGTGTGCCCCAGACCCTTGGAACAGTGAGAGAGTATGGGTTCCTAAACTTGGTTCAGAGGTGGTACACATCGACAGCATCTATCCTAGTGGGCAGCCAGGCTTTCCTGGAAACACAGGCTCAGCAGTGAGGTTGCTGCGGGCCCACATGAAGTTCTGTGCTTCCTGACATTTGCAGACCTGACCCTGCTCAGAGAACTGATAGGTGTCCCAGATAGTGTAACGGGCAGAACACTAGCTTTGCTAGGGCTATGGGGAACTAGGTTATGGTCTGCACGGGTTCCTTACTTACCTTGAGGACTTTCTTAATGCCATTGATGGTGGAGCTCAGCAACGAGTGTACCTTGAGGTCATCGTTGGTGTAGTCCGCATGCCTGATGCACATATAGAGAATGTATGCAGGCAGACAGGGCACGGTGCCCGACAGCATCTGGGGCTTCAGGTCTAACGGAGATAACAAGTGAGCTAGATTAGAACACTTTAAACATCAGAATTGCTTGCTTCAAAAAGAAATGTTTGCATTATTTCTCTGTAGCTCATCTAGGAATCCACTCCTCACAGGGCTTGAAAGAGGGATAAGAAACTGAGGTAGTGTAAAGCCCCTATCGCTCCTGTATCCAAACATTTAGTGTCTAGCTGCTGGTGCTGTTTGGGGGAAGTTATGGACCCTTCAGAAGGTGGAGCCTTGTTGGAGGAAGTGCATCACTGGGGGTGGTCTTCGAGGGTTTATAGCCTTGTCCTACTTCCTGCTTCCTCTCTCTACTCCCTGTGTGCCGATGAAATGGGATCAGCCAGCTTCCTGTTCCGGTGCCTGAGGCCACGCCTTCCTTGCCTTTATGGACTCTAGACCGGTAAACCAAAGGAACTCTGAGTTGCTTTAGGTCACCGTATCTTATCTCAGCAACAGATAACTGCTGTACACGCTCATCCACCCAGGCACCAGCAGCTGTGGGCACTGGTCAAAAGCAAAAGTATGGCATGGCCAGGTATAGTGGAACACACCTTTAACCCCAGCCCTCAGGAGGTAGAGGCAGGTAGATCTCTGTGAGTTTGAGGTCAGTCTGGTCTACATAGAGCGTTTCAGGTCAGCCAGGGCTACATAGAGAAATTATGCTTAAAAACAAACACCCCACTCCACATTCCTTTTCTTTCTTCCTTCCTTCCTTCCTTCCTTCCTTCCTTCCTTCCTTCCTTCCTTTCTTTCTTTCTTTCTTTCTTTCTTTTTTTCGAGATAGGATTTCTCTTTATAGCCCAGGCTGTCCTGGAACTCACTCTGTAGATCAGGCTGGCCTCGAACTCAGAAATCTGCCTGCCTCTGCCTCCCAAGTGCTGGGATTAAAGGCTTGCACCACCACTGCCTGGCAGCCCACTCTACGTTCTTAGGTGCTTGTACTGCAGCAGTAAAGCAAACAGGTCCCCAGTGATTTATCTACCACATGGATAAAAGGGCCACAAGTTACAAATGCACGCCATGGTCCTCAGGAAGGGGCTTATAGCTAGAGGCAGGCTATAAATAGAATCTGGGTCATGCAATGGGGTGGGAATGCACCAGAACTTCTGACTGGGCATAGTGGATTCTTTGATATGTGAAGATTGGTATCAGGATAATTTAGCAGTATCATATCTGATAGCAAATTGTTATGTTCCCAACAATAGCCAGTTGGCCAAGGTCGGAGAGGGCCGAAAGTATCTGTGGTCCATGAGTGTGATGTTTAGTTTTTTGCCAACTTGGCACAGGCTAGGGTCATCTGGGAAGAGAGAGCTTCAACTGGGAAAATACCTCCTGTGAAGTACCCTGGGGAGGGGACATTTTCTTGGTCAGTGAATGGTGTGGGAGAGCCCACCATGCTGGGTGTGTTCCTGGATGGCATACAGGGAGAGAGCCAGTAAGCAGCGCTCCTCCCGGGTGTCTGCTTCAGTCCTGTCTCCAGGCTCCTGCCTTGAGTTGTCTTCAGGATACCGTGCAATCATAATGGGCATGGTGTTTTACAGCAACAGAAGGCACATTTGAACAGCAGAGAGCTGTCCGTTTGGAATGATTACCTGGCAGCCCTGATGACTCATGGTTGAACTGGTCCAACAGCCCACAGTCTGCACTGCCGTCACATGGTGGAAGCCATGTTCAGTCTGCCCTGCCCCTTCTCTGGTTCCTCTCCTTTGACCTTTTCCCTGCCTTGGATCGTGACTCTTTATGAACTCAGGAGGCAGAGGCAGGCAGACCTCATGATAAACTCACATTCCCTGCCCCTCCTTCCTAACTCCCCTAGGAAACTGTCAGATGGACTTTAGTCTCTTGGGGAGCTAAGGAGCAGAGCAGCAGGAAGAGGCCTGGTGCCTGGTAAGATGGCGGATGGGAAAGGGCCTCACACTTCACTGTGGCTCTGGCTCTATCCCAGCTCACAGCCTGGGATAGTCTCATTATCCTGACCAAACCAAGCCCGGAAAACTCTCTGGTCTTGGAACTCACAAATGGGAAGGCCTTCCATTCTACCTGGGCCAGCAGCATCCTGAAGTCATCTGTCAAGGCTGACTAGGGTTGGGAGGGGGCTGGGCTGCATGTGTCTTCAGTTGATTCACAGGTTACATCATTCTTTCAAATATATCCTTCCCGTTAGTGTTAATTACAGGGCACAACACTCTGGACACATGGTTAACATTCTGGCATTGTCTATGTTCAATAAATGGCTATAGATTGGCTCTTGGCTCTGTTTAGAATGCTAGGAATGTTCATCCAGAAAAAAAAAATGAATTTTATAGGCCTACACTTCCAATCTTTACTGTCTTACTTCAGGCTTTACCTATGGGCAGATTTAAGCAGCTTGCCTTGCCTTGGAGTCGTCTGTTGTGATAGAACAGACTCCCTTCTGTTTCTAGGCAGATGTTAGGATCTTACAGTGTGGGGATTACAACTCTTTTTTCTCCTCTCTGAAGCAACTAGCCAGTGACAGGTTCATAAGAGGTTCATCTATGTGTGGGGGGTTGTCTGAAGGGCAGATGGTGAGGTACTCTTTCTTGGGATATAGGTAGGAGGTGATTGCCTGGAGCCGTGTAAGCAATGAAAGCAGAAGGCGGCTTGATTCACACATATTTAACTTATGGAATTCAGAGTCCTGTTTAGTTACTCAGCACATATACTGTGTATGTAACTCTGAAGCTGTACACTTTTGTGTTTCACACTCACCACAGAGTGAAGGTTTGCTTGTTATAGGTCTCATATAGTTGTTGGAGCATAACAGTCATCAGCACTCAAAACACCCAAATCAAATGACCAAAGGGCAACCATGCTAGGCAGAAACCATGTTCTAGTCCTCTCGCGTTCCCAGCCTAGGCCCCATACTCAGCAGAGGTCTTCATGCCTGGGAGGGCAATGTTTACCTTGAGTTCCACCTCTTTGAGTGAGAAAGCCCTGCAGTGCACTCTCTGGGTCTATCTCACATGCTGGGGAAGGCAGGGACAGTCCCACCACCCTGTTTGACAGATGGGGACACTACAGTATCATTTAGAAGGGGGCCAGTAGCATAGGATCAGACAGAATAATCTTCCTTTTGCCTCACAGGACTCTCTAAGATTTTTCCTCCTGACTCTGTAGGATGGAGCATACAGGAGGTTTATTGACGCTGATGAGGCTGAGATAAGAAAAGAAGGAGACCAGAATTACTGAGGACACTGGCTCCCACGAGGACAGTAAGCCATCCCTGAAGGTGGCATCTGCGACTGGCCACAGAGAACTATCTTCACACAAGCCTCAACAATGTGCAAATAGGACTCAGACCTCCTAACTGGGCATCCATGAAGATGACCCCATCGGCAGGAGGTGTTCCAAAGCTACGGGAGCTGGATGTGAGGTAGCAGGAGTTCTCGTCCTGAGGACCAAGCCAGAGGGAGTCTACCTTTTCTGGAGCAGCTGAAGCTGCTGGGCCACATACTGAGCCTCTATCACTCATAATATGGCATTTCACACACACACACACACACACACACACACACACACACACACACACAGGAGAGCACTGGTCCTCAACTACATGGCCAGGGAGGAAAGGAGGCAAGCTTACACAGAGGCTGTGCGATTCCAGAGGTCAACACATGCATGCTGGATTGCACAGCACTAACAAACTGTAACTAGAAAACATTTTAGTCCTTGGCTCACTATTTATCCACTCTGTGACTTGGGGGGACAGTTCCCAGAATGATCTCAGCATCCTCCAATGGCTGGATGCTGGACAGTGCCTTTAGATACAGATGCTGGGAGAGATAAACAATCAGGGAGGGAATGACCTTTGGCACAGTTGCCGACAAGTCCACGCTGCAAAAGCACTGTTGCCCACCTGAACTTCCCCAGAGAAAGAAGAATTGCAGCCATTACTGCAGAGAAGCACGTGGCAGGCAGGAGCCATGTGGCCACTGGCAGAACAGAGACCCTCCCTTCCCTGAGTGAATGCAAAGCTTTGAAAAAGCAACGAAGAGCATAGGAACAGCTGGAGATGGTGGGCATGAGGTAGAGGAGGGGACTGTAAGATCCCCTGGGGAGATGGGAGAGTTGACTGAATAGAAACTGAGAAGAAAACTGCAGGTGGCACACCACGGTAGGTCCTGACCTGTTACCAGGTTCCGGATGAGGAGGGCCTCGTCCTCTTTGTGGTACTCCAGCATGCCTTGGAAGTCCTTCTCTTTCCGTTGGACTGTGACCTGTCTTGTGAGTTCATGGTGCCTCCTGTCATTCTGTGCCAGTGCCTGGGCAGCTGAGTGAGAAAGAGAAGACAGAAACATGGTGAGAACATGCAGTGGAGGCCGGCAGGAGGGGAGGGGTATCATGCTCACACTCTATGTATCTGTGCCTTATAGCTGGAACCTCTCTAGCTGTGGGTTGAAGGCCTCAGCACCTGTGCTGGGGTCCACTGTGTTCAAGGATGAGGGAGGATCGCTGGAAGGAAAACAGGTAGGTATGGCGCCAGAGACAGTATGAGAGTGGTGGCAACCATGTTCAGTCTGCCCTGCTAGCAAGAGCTTTTCTTCTACCAAGCTGTAAGGAAGGTCCCCCAGTCTGAGAGGAGAGCCTGTTCTCCTCAGTTCCATGTGTGCACCACAGCACGGGCCATCATGACACTGATGGTAGAGTTGTGGGCTGGCCAGGGGGCAGGCGATGCCAGTGGAGAAGAATCATGGGATCCAGATGTAGTGTGAGGCTGGGGAGTGTGCTAAGTGCAGATCACACAAGCAGTTATCTGGGAAGTGTCCTAGGGGTACCAATTGGTGTATCAAGAACTTGCCAAACGTCATTCAGACCTTTCCCCCAGCCTAGAGGAGGGTAGTAGACTCCAAATATTATTCATTGCACACTGCACACCTGGGTACCAACAGTATGAGGGTACTGTCATCAGCATGGGACATATATGAAGTCCCCAGTCTCACCCCCACCAGTCCAGCTGAGGAGATGCATTTGTGTCTTTACATGAAAAACCCTTGACGATGCATCTTGGCCAGGAGCCAGGTCAGGGGTGTGCCTTGTAGGTGCTGGTGGAGGCTGAATACAGAGAAAGGAGCAGGAGGAAAGAAAGTAGGCAAGAACAGGGCTGGTCCATCAACCCGGCCTCTAGATCAGTGGTTCTCAACCTGTGGGTTGTGACCCCTCTGGGGTTGCATATCAGATAATATTCTGCATATAGATATTTACATTATGATCCATAACAGTAGCAAAATTACAGTTATGAGGTAGCAATGAAATGATACAGCATTGGGAAGGTTGAGAAACCACACCCCTAGATGAACGGGGAAAGAGCAGGGTAAGTGATCCCCCACGGTGGGCATTTGTAACTGGAGGGATGTTCTGTGTGTGTGCACACGCATGTGCACATACGGAGGAGCATCAGGTAAGAGCAGGGACTTTACTCTGCTGGCCTTGGGGAGGTGAGAGGAGAGACAGTGCTTTGAGCGGAGGCGGGCCCTGGGGAGCTACTGAGCCACCTGGGAACAGAGGGTGAAGACTGGTCACAGGGGAGGAAGGACACAGGGAGTGAGGTGGAGGAGAGGGGAAGACAGTCTTCTGGACTGAGCGGAATGGATAGGCTGGAAGCCAAGAGACTTGGGCAATGACCACCTGAGGATCAGAAGGTAAATCCCCATAAACGGAGGGCACACAGGGGCAAGTGCAGAGAGACCAGCAATTGAGAAAAGGCCAGACGCTGCCTGCTGTGGGCAGAGCTATCCCTCACACTATAGAAGCCATGGACATACACCCTGGGTTCAGTGATGTGCCCAGATCTGTGGCCTCAGGACAGCACAGGGCATGACTCTAAGCCTAGGGTGGTGGCTCTTGGGTAGAGGGAGGAAGATTATCTGAGACATGAAGCACCTGAGGGTTACAAGTAGGGTAGGACATGTTTAGAGGGTACACCAGTCACAGGAAAGGACACTCCCAGGGCTTAAGGAAAGCGATTTAGACATCCCATCTGTCCCACCATCTAGACTCCAAATTGGAAGTTTAGTTGTGACATCCTGTGGCATGGGGTGAGGGCCCCAGGTCTTTGTGTCACAGTGTTCTTTCACACCAGACAGCCTCACTCTGCCTCTATGTACCTGTGTGGCTCTTTCCTCCAGTCTTGCTCACACCTGCTCAAGCTTGGGTCTCTTCTCTAGGCCCTACCTGCTGAGGATATGTGGGCTCCCAGCAGCTAAATTCTCCCAGGACATGGCTGGCATAGGCATAGCCACCAGGAAACTCATGAAGTGGACAATGGGCCAAAGGGCAGGCAGCTGAGTCCCACAGGCTGGCAGGGTCACCTCTGCCTCATGCACACCCAGGCACACACTCATGCACGCCCAGGCACACTACCTTCTAAGTCCTGGACCTTCTTCATGTAAATCTTCAGCTGCTTTTTCAGCTTCTTCTCATTCTTTTCCAGCTTCTCTACCAATTCCTTAAAATCCTGAAAGAATAAAGTTGTTGTGTGAGAACAGGACGTTGGCCTCACCCTGAAGGAAAGGAAAAAAAGAATTCTTGCCAGGAACAGAGAAGCCCAGAGAGGCTGAGGAGCCCGCTCAGGTAGGAGCAGAAGGGCCAGCTCACACAGGCTCAGAACCTGCTCAGAGCCCAGATGAGTCAGAGTTCATTCTGCCAGCAATAACAGAGTGAACTCCCAGGGCGAGTTCCTCCCATTGGGGCACTCGGGCACCTTGTGGAATCCCAGGGCTCCCTAAGCCAAGCCTCCCCAGGGGACACCCAGTCTAGGTATCCCGGGAGTAGCAGGCAGGCAGCACTCTGGGTGGAGGTGTGGGAATGCAGCCACACAGCTGGCAGAGTCAGCAAGCCAAACAGAGGCTTCTGGGATCAGAAGCCAAACAGGACAGGGGCTGTGGCCCCAATACCTAGTAACTGTTGTCACTGGAGGCAAGACAGTCCACTGGGACCTAGAACAGCAAGCTGTCCCTGGAAGGACTTTGCTATCACTATTGCCCTCATCGAGCTATGGGCGGGTGGTAGGAAGGGAGAGAGGAAGAGAACCCTGCCTTTTCGCCAGTAGAGCCAAGCCTAGGAAACTACAGCGATGGAGAAGGGAGAGGTAAACAGTGCATCCTGAGAGCTCTGTAAGATCTTCAGTGTGGAGCCCTGTGTGTCGCAGACAGGTATAGAACCCAGGGCACTGTGTGTGCTGGGTGACTGCTCCACAGCTGAGAAAGAAACTTTGCCTTGGATGACATTGTTTTAAAGGATTTATTTTAATTTTATGTGTCTGTTGTTCTATGTGCCTATGTGCACCAGAGTGCGTGTGTGTCTGTGGGGGTCAGAGGATGGAAGAAGTCTTTAAGGTAGGCCTACTAAAGAGAGTCAGTTACAAGATCAATACCTGAGCTATGTAGGCTTTGCATATAATTCTAATTACAGGTGTTCTGAGGGACTTTATCTTTATTTAAAAGGGGAAGAGGCTAGCAAGATGGCTCAGTGGGCACTGGCATTGCTGCCAAACCTGATGACTTGAATTTAATCTCCAGTATCTATGTGTGGGAGAGAAGTCTTCCTCTAACTTCCTCATGGGTGTGGTAGAATTCCTCATATATATATATATGAATGAATAAATAAATAAATAAATAAATAAATAAATAAATAAATAATACAGATAGTGAAAAGCCCTTCTCAGATTGAGAGGAATCTATACACTCACCTAGTCTATAGAAGAGGAGTGAGAGCACAGACAACTGGGGAGAAGAAGAGAGAAAAGGAGTGGTGCACGCGTGTGTGTGTGTGTGTTAACAGATCAGGGACTCTGCAAGAACCCAGTTGGTACAAAGGACTTAAATGTCTTGAGAAACTTTAGTCAAGGTTCCTGTGGAATAGATAAGGTCACTGTCCTACAGCTGTGAAAGAGATACCATGATCACAGCAACTCTTACAAAAGAAAACATTTAACTGGGGGCTGGCTTACAGTTTCAGAGGTTTAGTCCATTATCATCATGGCAGCGAGCATGGTGGCATGCAGGCAGGTGCTGGAGCAGTAGCCAAGAGCTATGTAATGATAGTGGGCGGGACCTCTGAAACTAAGCCAGCCTTAGTTGAATGTTTCCCTTTGTAAGAGTTGCATTGATCATGGTTTCTCTTCACAGCAATAAAACCCTAATAATCAGATCTTCCATGTCTGTCTGGAGCATAGCTATCTCCAGTGGGATGTGCTAGAATCTCTGACTTGTACATGGACATTGTTATTTTAATACATCAGGTCCTATACTATTTCAATTATCACTCATCAACAGACAAGTTTTCTCTGTCCCTGTTCCTACTATAGAGCTAAGAACATGATCTATGCCCATCTGATAGCTCCTGATTCTACTTCTGTCCAGAAATGATCCCAAGAGCCACAATCAATGAGGCATGGCCACTTACCAGGTTCTCATTGGTCAGCCGGGATATCTCCTGCTGGACACCAAATTCTACCTGGGCCTCAGGGGAGAGCAGCAGAGTCTGGCAGAAGGTCTGCTGCTGTTTGTCCATCTCCTCCTTCAGGCCCTCCACCTGGGCCTTAAGATGCTCCACCTCCTCCTCATGCTCCAGGCTCTGGGCCTGCAGCTGTGCCTCCAGCAACCTGTACCCAGAGAAGCAAGCCAGGTCACCATGTGACTAGGGTGGGCACCCGTCGTGAAGGGCTACAGACAAAAGCAACAGGAGCAGCCAAGCACATAGCAGGAGCAATCACATGGCCCCAACAAGAATGCACGCAGCAGGGAGATCTCAACAGGCAAGCAGACCAACTGATCCTTTCAGATGACCAGAAACCAAGGCCAAAGGCACTCTTGGGCTTAGGCCTCTTTGGCCACCCTCATTGTTTGTTCTATGGGTATAGACTACTGATTTGATATTAAGAGACTGTCTCCATGTCAAGATGCCATTACCATAAATAAATGTCTCATAGTATCTTAAAATAGCAGTGTCAACATCTGCCCCAAAGTTTGTAAAAATTTCCTTGTAAAGATAAGATACTGATAAACAGAGCTAATTATATTAGTTTATTTTTCCTTTAGATTCCATTCAATTTTTTAGGAGAAGAGCTAATATTTTGCCTTTTATCTCCACCTTTGGTATCCCACTTTTTCTCATGTATAATTTTTTTATATCAATTTCCCCTCTTATCTAAAAAGCTATTTGGGGAAATGTTTAAGATCAACTAGTGTCATAAGAAACAAAGATCAGAGGAAGTTTGGAGAGGCTGAGAGGAGGCTCGGAGATTTGTCAAAGAGGCCAGTGGCTAGAGTGTCAGGCACTGAAGGAAAGCCTCTGCCTGCTTTAGCAGAGGGTCAGCAGCAGCCGCACCTTGGGATCTGACCCTCACATGACCAGGTCATCATCTTCTGGGACTTGACTACCTGATGTAGCTTTCTGATTTAGCGTGGTCACCTTCAGTGAAAAGGGACATGGTCAATGGGGTTCTGAAGGACACAGTCGCCCCTGTCTTTATCTGGATATAGTAAAGTTTCTGCTCAGGGCAGTGACCAGGGACATCTCCTGATGTCCAGATGGCAAGGAGTGGGCAGCCATCGTGCCTTTTCTATCTGGGAGATGGTAACTACCATAGAGAAGAAGGAGCAAGAGTGGAGAGTCTACTTTGTTGACAGAAGCAGCCACTTTTAGGCAGCCAAGCAGCTCTATAGCAGGGTGTGTGTGTAAGGGCTTCTTAGCAAAGAGATGCAAATGAAAGAGAAACTGATAAAGGGATCTGGCCTCTCACCACAGGAAAACAAAGGTAATACCAGAGTGGTGGAAAAGAGTCCAACAGCTGCCTTTTAGATAGCATACAGTATTCAGACAGCATTGGACATTGGCTACAACATACTAAAACTCATCAAGTGTAAGACAGAAGTCAACAGGAGAGAGGATGTGGACTGGTTGGTTCCAGGGAACTATCCCAGACCCACTTTCTGACCGACTGTGTATCTCCTGCTAGCACCTGCCTTACTCTCAAGTGGATTCAGCCCAGGGCTCTATGCCAGGAGTAAGGTTCCCAGTCAGGCATCTAAAAGATCTCCTAAGACATGGGCTGGTGTGCTATTTTCTAATGCATTCGGCTTGATTTTTCTTTGTGCCACATCCAACCTCATGACAGATATGAAGAGCATCCTAGAAATGCACACACAGGTTCCCACTCTAACAAAACAAACTTGACTGGCAGGACTCTGACCCCATTGAAAAACCTCTCTCTGACTGGCAGGACTCTGACCTCGTTGAATAATCACCATAGTAGACACAGAGGCAGCAGCTAATGCTTCTCTGCTCTCTCCAGATGTAAAGCATTACCTGTGATAATCCTCTTCCTTATGGTGACCCTGTGTGGCAGGGCCTGCTCTGATCCACCATTTGGCAATAGGGGACCTGACCCAGATGTCCCCAGCAAAGGCTACAGCACTAGAGGTGTGCCATTCCCCTCTCCATTATCTTAGAAGCAGCAGGGAGAAGGTCACATGATGAGCAAGCATAAGCTGAGGTGTGGGCACCAGCCAGTCACTGAGGGATCCAGGTCTCACACTCCTCCACCTCTCCGAGCCTGTTTCCTCTTTGAGAAACAAGCCCTGATGACAAGCGCTCCATTTCTTGTTGAGAACAAATGACCAGTTATGCCCCTGCTCTCTAAGAGCCCCATGCTGGCAAAGATAATATGATCAGCCTGTGTGCTGTCTTTGCTCTGCATACGTCCCTGGCTAAACTGGGGTCCATTTGGCTGCCGATATCAAAGGTTTGACTGTCTACTTAAACAGAACTTAACCAGTAAAATAAACCTGCCAAGCTGCACTCACAAGGAGAATCAGACGGCACAATGCGCCTGCAGCCCTTGGCCACTATCAGCTCCAGGGAGTCCCTAAGTCCGGGACCAGCTGTGTGCTGATAGCATGTATGAAGGAGCCTTGCTTCTGAAGCAGAGCCAGCATGCAAACTAGGTCAAGGACTCTGGCCGACCCTGAAGAGTTAGGAAGGTTGGTATGTAGCATGTCAGCAGCACAGGCCCTGGAGATCCACAAGTCAGTTCCCTTTGCAGCCTTTTCTCAATAGCTGTGTGATTTCTGCTACAGAAACCCTCCCTCTTTCTCCACCTATAGAATGAAGAGTTGTGCCCTGTGGTCTCAAATGTTCACCCGAGCCACCTAGCACTACCATCTTGATGGAGGCAAGTAGCTTCTGCTGGTGTCATCCATACAGCCCAGATCCACAATGATGAATGGATGCCTCTAGGGGCTGCTGCTCAGGAGCCCATGTAAGCTGTGCCCCATACCCTCACAATTGCTCAGGCCAAACCAAGGAACACAGACATGAGCAGGCACACAGATGAAGCACATACAAGATGGAGCATCATTGACCTGGCAACTTGCTTTAGGCCTTGGTAAGCCAAGCCGAGTTCTCCATCTTCATTCAAATATCCCCAATCCTCAGTCTGGCTAGAAATAAAGTACAGAGAAAGAGGTGTGCAGTGGAGAGGAGAAGAGGCAATCAGAGAGACTGGAAAGCTTATAGCCAAGCCTTGGAGTCAAGAAAAGGGGACAGACTGTGAGCTGTTCTTCATGCTTCTCTCTAGCTCCCAAACTCTAGGTGCTAGCCGACAGCACCCTCTCTGAGTTTCCCAGGTTTCAGGTAGTGCCAGGGAAAGGGGTTCAATGTGGTCTCAGAGACCCACCAATAGCTGCAGATCAGGTACATGCTGCCAAAGACAGCAAAGAGCTGCACTTGTTCTGGTAACTCTACAAACAAAACAGCCACACAATAGCACAGGCTGGACCATCTCACACCCACCAGTCTTCCTTCCATCTGAAGGAGTTGAAGGAAAAGAAGTATAAACAGGGTTAGAGGATTAGACACCGTGTGTGTGTGTGTGTGTGTGTGTGTGTGTGTGTACAACAGGGGCTGAACAGCACGTGAGGCACCTGGGAATGCTGGCCTCCCCCAGGGCAAGGAACGGGACTGCACATTTCGTTTCCATTTCCATGCATAGTTCTCCATCTTCTTTCTGCTGTTACTAACCTTAACTCTAACTCTTCTTACAGAGTTGTGTGTGTGTGTGTGTGTTTAAAGTTAACTACAAGAAACTTACAGGTTAAGAACTTGATGTAGGTTACACACCATTCCCCTGGCCAGTCAACTTGTGAAAGCAGGTCCCTGGTATCTTCTGTTGGCCCTGCCTTCTGCCTCATGTCAGCCACGGTGGCTTTTGGAGGTCATTGTGCTCAATGCTCATCTGATCCCACCCCACAAAGTCCTGAGCACAAGGGCATCTGTAAAGACCAGTGGGATAGTTGGTGGTGGGCATGAGTCACGAGCAGGAGTTAGTCCACACTGCCTAATAGAAAGGCCACTCAGCCCATCCCAGAATCCAGATGGCAAACCAAACAGCCCTGGTAAAGCCAGATACTATCTTGCCCTCTCATGTTTTGGGTAATGTTCAGGGGCTGAAAATATCCATTTCAGATACTTTTTGAGCTAGTCTCTAGTAGAAGGTCTCCAGACCTGCAGCACTTACATAGTCTGTTTCTTGGGCTGGTTGCCCACTAGCAACCGCCACTGTGAAAGTCCAGTGGACAGGAGTTAGTTAATACACTTCTGGGACTTTTCTATGGCTTCTGTTCCTAGTCTAAGGCCAACCCCTTAAGTGTTAGAAATTCCTGGCTGTGTGGCAGGGTAGTAAGGAAGACTACTGCCAACATTTTGATGCCAGTTTTGATTACCGATTGTTTTGATGAACACCCCTATCTAAGCCTTCTACCTGGTAAATGGTTGGAGCTTTACCACCGTGGTGGTTTGAATGAGAATGGCCCCCATAGGCTTATATGTTTGAATACTTGGTTCCCAGTTGATGGAACTGTTAGGGAAGGACTATGAGGGGGTGGGGCTTTGCTGGGGGAGGTGTTACTGAAAATGGGCTTTGAGGTTTCAAAGGAATTCACCATTTTCAGTATTTTTCCCTCTGCCTTGTGCTTCTATCAAGATGTAGGCTCTCAGCTATTGCTCCAGCACCATTCTGTCGTGTTCTCTACCACAATGGCCATGGACTGTAACTCTATTAAACTGTAAGCCTCAAAGAAACTCTTTTTCCTATTCATGGCCTTGGTCATGGTGTTTTACAGCAACAGAAAAATAACTAAGACAACCAGCTTTCTTGTCCTTTGCCAACCAGTTAGGTGTCCTGGGTAATCTGTATGTCCCACAAAATCCCTAAGGACATAAGGCTGGGTTGAGCAGGGGCTGATATCTGCTCCTCCTGTTCTCAGATGTTAAGGCTTGCATCTACCAAGGGTCCTTTGTAGCAATGTGTGACCCCAGAGGAGTCCCCTGTGCTGCAGGGGTTCTTGGAAGTACCCAGCATGCTGTACTCTAGCCCTCTCCTCGGTTGTAAGTGGAGAAGTGCTGGCACCTAGCTGGACACTCACTGTGTCTCTCTGTCTTCTTTTGAAGCCTCCCTAGCCCTGCTGGTTAAATGTTAGCTCCTGGGAGGGACTGCTAGGTCTCAGAATACTGCCTCATTCCTGTGGTTCTCTGACTTTTCAGAGTGGCACATGGGTGATACCTAGACCTCTTGGAAGTTAGCATTTGTCCTTATGTTATGAGTTTCATAGAGAAATAGAATTCTGAATTCTGTCACATGCTGGGTATCACATGGGTAATAAATCTACAGCTAAGACACTCTGCATTTAAAAACAGGTTTATGAGTAAATTAAAAACTAGTAAACCAACTCAGTAGAGACCTCTGCTCCTAAGTGAAAAAGACCCAAAGTTCCAGGGACTTAGATCCCATCACCTCTGTGCTTAGGAGTGTGACTGGGTAGGTAGTGACATCTACTGGTGTGAGGAGGAAACTCCAAACAGCCTGACTTCAGGAAATCAACAAATATTCAATGAGCCCCTCTGCATAGGTTGCTGTGCTGTGTGAGGGTCCTGAAGTGGTTAAACACAGTGAAATACACAGCAAAGCCCCGCAGGTCACTGTGGAGCCAGGAGCCCCTTGTGTTAGGCTAACACAGTGAGCTGTGTGGCTTCAGAAGTATTTTCAACTAGCTGTTGAGGTCATGCAACAGAAATGGTCTCAGAGAGGATGCACTTTCCTCTGTAAAACTTGGAACAAAGGACCAAGCATCCACTTCCTGTCTGTCATATGTCCAGCCATCTTGGGTCTGCTCAGTTCCTTGAGTGTAGTAAGATTCCTAAGTGTTCTGTGGGTACTTATATCTTTAGCCCACATTGCATTTTCTCTCAGCAGCCCAGGATCTTTGCTGGGGGATCTGAGAAGTAGATCGGGGCACAGACATAGAGGGGGAAAGAGGCCACTGTGGGGAGCTGCCCTCAGAGCTGGGCTATGCACTGAGCAGGTGTGTGCAAAGAAAATACCATGTGTGCTCGTCTTTCTGGAAACCGGCTCCTCCAATAGACCTGGCTCCAGCCAAAGACAATAATAAAGCTTTTCTGTGCTGGGGCCTCCTGCTGTTTCCTGGGTCCCAAGGATAGATCTAAGAACACACTCTCTACATGCTATGGAGACATCTACAGCCTTGGCGTTGATAGAAGTGTTCAGGAGTCAGAGGAGTACTGCTTGAAGCTAGACCTAGAGCCGCAGCCACACTCAGTACCAAGTCCTAACCCAGCTGTGTGACCTGGAGGGGTTGCTTAGGGCAGGCTGGCCTTCTAAGGACAGGCATCAGCTTTTCACTCAGTTCACATCCCATCATCATCCTCTCAGAGCCAGGTGGGAGGGGATGACAGGCTTCAGGCTGTAAGCTTGGCTTCCTCAGCTGTCAGATTTTCTTAGCTTTTCCATAAGTAAAGCACCCAGAAGGAAGCTGGCTGACCCTAGCTCCCAAGATGGCAGCATGAGCTTGCAGAAGCAGGAGGTAGCATTCCACATTCGAGAGCTCTGGCCAGAGCAGCCCTCCACGCTGCTTGCCTGCATGCTCACAGTGCAGGGGGGACGGAACAGGTGGAAGCCCTCTGCACATCTTCGCAGGCTATGAAGCTCAGCAAGTGGAAGCAATCTGAGGAACCACAGATACTTGGAGGGACTGTCCATGGGACTGGTGCATCAGAAATCTCAGAAGTCTAGCCTGAACTTAGGATATGAACACATTTTCTAGGTACAGATTTCATCAAAATTCTAAAGGGACCCCACTTGACCAAACATGCACAACACGATTTGTATGTATATAAAGCTCTCCGTTACAGGCCAACCACAGCAAACTTCATAGCACCCTTCTTATAAGAGGGTCCCTGTCTGGGCTCCCCAGAATCAGAGTCCTACTACCCTTCCCTGACAGTCAGCCCAGTTACCGCCCCACTTAGTGCTTGGATTTGTAGTAATCACAAAAAGGTTCTCAGAGCTGAGGCTGGAACAAAACTGAAAAAGACAAATACTATGGTGCCTAATGTGGCAGATATTGGGGACCTGGGTCCCCTGACGCTTCTCCTCTTGGCAATACTTTTCTTAGCTCGGCTTCTCAGCTATTCACTATTGCATGCTGAGCGTTCTGAGCATGGGATTATTTTAAGATATAGTAAAGGCTATTTTTGTCTTATCACCTGCATTGTTATTTAGGTAAGAAGACAAAATCTGGGGCATTAAGCAGCCCCTGGAAATACCTAGATGGAGGGCTAGTCTCCTGACAGCTGAAGGAGAGAACAGAAAGAGGGCTGGGAGCAGTTTCGGCTCTGAAGATCGGTGCGATAAGCCCAGCGCTCAGCTGCCAGCTTGCTTTCTAATTTAACACCACCTGTGAGTTTTTCTCTATTCATCTCTTTGCTTATCTTCCACCCGAGATAATTTAAGACGACTCAGGCTTTAGCACAGGGAGTCACCTTCATTCCCTCCCTTTCTTCTTTAGGAAGCCTTGGGGGCTGACTGCATCTCCCCCTCAGGTTTCCCATGCAGGGAGTGGGGGAGTGCAGGGAGCTGTGCAGCCTGGAAGCCAGCCTTCCTGGATTCTACCTTGGTTTGGCTATAGTTGGTGTGCCTGAAGCTGCACAATCTTTCTGGGCCTCAGTTTCTTCATGTGCAGAAGAGGGACTGCAGCAGCAGGTCTGCAAGTCCTAACTAAGCACTTAAGTCTTCAGAGGAGGCAGACTCAGGCACCACCCTCTGGGGCCTTCTGAAGGAACCACTGCTTCCAGTAGCTTTAAACAAATGCTCTCCTCTGGCAGGCCTCCCAGGGCCTTCTCTTTCCAACAAATAACTCTCCAATGTTGGGCAGATGGCCAGTTCCTGAGGAACAGGTTATAACAAGCTAGGCCTGATAATAACCCCTCCCATACCCATTCTTTCTAACACCATCTCCAGGTACTGCTCAGAGGCGGGCCCTACCTGTTTGTCTGGCAGACCCCATGATAGGCCTCAATGGCGTCTTCCTGGTCCACATGCTTTTCACTGTTGGGCCAACTTGTTCTGGCATTGATGTTCGGCTCCTAGAAGACCCCAAATTAAAAAACAAAACAAAACAAAATCTGGTTATGCATCTTCTAGGAAATAATTTTGTAATATGGAAGTATATCAGTGAGTTTTGGGAAAAAGAGGCAGACCTAGAGAAATAGATAACTGCAGTCAAACACAGGCAGGAGCATAGCTTCAAAGGCCATCTTGGGTGGAAGGACAGGCAGCCTCAGCAAGGCTTAGCTGTGAGGCACAAGTGTAAGCAGTGGGGTTAGGGGCGGGAGGACACAATCAAGGCTTACTACTGAAATGCTTTATCCCCCCAGCCACACCCAGGACCCATGTCTAGAGTGGCCTAGCCTATTAGAGGCCATTGGGTGACCCAGGTAAACTCTAATCCGTCCCTCTTACTGTCCAATCTGTCCTAGAAGGTAAGACCATCAGAAACAGGAAGGAGATTCACCATCTGTAAAGGCTGAGAGAGAAATCTCCCCAGAGACAAATTTTTTTTTTCTTTTTTTTTTTCGAGGCAGGGTTTCTCTTTATAGCCTGGGCTGTCCTGGAACTCACTCTGTAGACCAGGCTGGCCTTGAACTCAGAAATCCGCCTGCCTCTGCCTCCCAAGTGCTGGGATTAAAGGCTTGCGCCACCACTGCCCGGCATATCTGAGGTTATTCTCCGTGTCTTCTTTCTTTTGAACATTTTCTTTAAAAAGGTTTTTTTTGTTTGTTTGTTTTTGTTTTTTAAATAAAAGCCTGCATGTCTGTACATGTGAGTGCAGTACCTCTGGAGGCCAGAAGATGACATCAGATTCACATTTGGATGGATTTATAGACAGTTGTGAGCTGCCTGACATGTGTGCCAGGAGCTGAACTCAGGTCCTCTGCAAGGCCAGTGAAGTGCCCATACCGGCTGAGCCATCTCTCAGCCTCCTTGATCACGTTCTTAAATTCAGTAGATTCTAGACATGTCTAGCTTCCCCTCTTGAAAGAGGTCATGAAGAAAGGGCACCAAACCCTTGTGCTGCTTTCAGCAACTCAAAGACAGAGGTCCTGCTCTTCAGGTTTAAGACCTCCATGAGTAAAGACTTAAAACCACAAGCCTACTGGCTCAGTGTCACCCCAACAAGCCCAGCCATGGCTGCCACCCTGATTACCATGTTCTTGCCAGACAGTCGGCGCTGGTCAGCATTCATGATCTGGGTCCTGAGGATCAGGACCTCCTCTTTGCGGACCTCGAGCTCCTCATTGGCCAGCTTGAGCTGGTTCAGTAGAAGGCTGTAGCTGTCTGGGGAGCTGTGGGTGGTGTTATCCTGCATGGCTTGGTCAGCAACAGCCTTCCTCAGCTCATTCAGATCATTCTTCAGCTTCTTGTTCTCGGACTCAAGCTCTTGTCTCTGCAAGACAGCCAAGAGGCACACCTTGCTGCTTGCTGGATCGGCAGCATATCCCAGCTACCCCGTCTCTTCTCTTTCCTTAACTTTCCCTGTCTACAAGAGCAACTTTCCTTCTTTAGTGAAGACACGCATGGCTCAAGTTCTGGTGACATGAGAGGTCAGTCAGCTATAGAAACTGAACTCATCACCCCAAGTTCTCAGAGAACTGCTTCTGATGCATCGGCTCCACAGCACTCACCCAGGATGCAATGTGTGTTTTAAGCACATGTAGCCATGAAATTCTTCTTTGTGGAAATGTGGGGCTGATCACCATGTGTGTGTGTGTGTGTGTGTGTATGCGTGTATACATAGTGTTGGAGAGCAAAGCTCTGCCCAGCCTCAAGCTGAAAGTTGTAAACAACATGCCACTAAATGGACTTCCTGAAACTTTCATGTGGTTGCATGCTTTGAGACTTTCTAAAAACCTTTAATAAAGTCATATGCTTGTCAGAGTCCCAAGATGACTGAGCCAGCTCCAGTGGGCAGAATCTGTATGATCTGAGAGAGGAAGCCAGGGCAGATCCAGCTAGCTGAAGGATCAAAGCAAACTAAGTGCCTGAGCCAGGATGCCAACACATAGAACAAGAACGAACGTTGAAGGCACTAAGCTAAATGCTGTACACTGTCTCAAGAAGATAAATGCCTGGAGTCCACGGTAGGAGGCATCTTCAGAAGAGGACAAATGCCACTGTAGGAGGCATCTAGACAGTGCACAGAGATAGAAGTAGAATGGTGTCTGTGTGGGGCTGTGGGAGGGAGGAGCAGAGTCTTCAGTGGAGACCGGCTTAGTAAGATGAATTACAGGGCTCAACAGCAGTGTGTTGCTCACACGCTATGAATGTATCCTCCATTACTGACCCTCATATACACTTAAAATGGCTAATATGGTAAATTATATGCTATATATATTTTATCACAGTGGAAAAAATAGTTGGGAGGGAGAAGCCACAGAAATGACTCAATGTTTTTCTGTGCAATGGTCATTGGCAAATCAGTAACAGTTGTTTTATTAGTGACCAGACTGTGAACCGGCCTCACTATGAAGTCTGATGGCCCTTCCCTCCTCCTGGGGCCTGAAGTCTCCACTGTTCTGCTTTGCCTTCTCCTGTCATGTCAACAAACCCTCTGCCTTACATCTAGATGCTATTTCAATGTGATTCTATTCCTGTGGCCACATTTTATTTTAACTAGAGATGTTTCAAGTAGGAAAGCCTGTGTTTCTTGGTATAAACACAATATCTTTGTTTCAGAGATGAAGATGTAAGGATGTAGAAATGAAGTCACTTGCTTATCACTCTACTGAGAGCGGGCTGGATGCTTAGGACCCAGTTTCCTGAAGCCCATCTATGTAGTTCGTCTTCTACCAGAGGACAGACGGCTTACCTTCAGACTATTGTAGGCTATATCTGCATCCTGGTCCACATCTAAGCCATTGTTCTGTTCTACCTGCATAGAGGGGACAGAAAGGTGAGTGCAGACCATAGGGCACATGCTCTTCAGACATTTCTGAGACAGTCAAACTTTTCTCATTCTACTTTTTCATGAAGAGCTGGCAACCTCACCCTCCACAGGTGTATTCCCCACCTCCTCCAAAGAGTAGCCCAGTACTTGGGCTACCGTGAGTCCCCCTATAAACAACTCCTTCCTGCCCCCACGCTATCACATGGTCCTCACAGGTACTGACAGGTTGACGTTATATCACAAACACTACGTCATGGATTAAATTATATAAACTTAGTAGCCGTAAGTCGTAAATTCTCCCTGTGAATATGACCTCCCCTTGGGAATAGAGTCTTACGAGGTGTAACGAAGTGAGTCCTAATGATTTAAGAGGAAAGAATACACAGACAAGATGGACATATTAACATGGAGGTGGGATTGGCATCAGCTGCAAGTCAAGAACATCAGAAGCCAAGAGAAAGGCACGAGACAAATTTTCCCCACTGCCTGCAGGGAACAGTCACATCAAAACCTTCACTTCTGACTACTGGCCTCTGGAAGAATAAATTTTTGTTAATAAGTAATTGGATTGGAAGTATTTTGTTTCAGTATCCCCAAGAGTTGTACAACATGAATATTAATGTTGTCTTCATGTTTTTGTGGTGTGCATTCAGGACCTGTTTTTTGAAGTGGCTGGCTCATCGTAGGTATACAGTGCATGCAGCAGACTTCACAATGCCAAAGCTGGTGGCTCTGGGCAGCAGTAACTGGAATAACAAGGACCTCTGATTATGTGGGCAGTCCTTAGCATTGAATTGGCAGTTCAAAGGGGGCACAAATAACTTTCTAATTGCTTGGAGTGAGTTTAAGGGGGATACAGCCCTGAAGAACATGGGTCTTTAGAACCAGGACCTAATGGTACATTTAATGAGATTGCCTAAGTTGCAGAAACCTGAAGTCAGGTAAAGCTGTCACTGCTGTGGGTGGACCAGAGTATCTGAGTTTAGAGTGAGCATCTCCTGCAACCTCTTCCAGATGAAGGACATGTACGATTGCCGCACTGTTTCCTGCAAAGTAAGCTGGGAAAAGCCTGGCCTGGGTACCAACTTTGCCTTGCCTCCCTCCATCTCCAGAGTCACAGGGTATGTGAATGGCCTGAGTCAGCACTCCTGCTGTTAGGTAAGTGGCCTGCACTTGCATCATTCTGTGTGGCATAGACACAGCCTCTCTACATGTTGAATGTGTTAGACTCTCAGAGGAAGAGGATCACAGACTCATACTTGAAGGGATGTTTCTAAGTCTGTGGGGATCACTGCAGGGACCAAGGTAATGGCCAGGTCAGGGGGCGAGAAGCTGGATAGATGGGAGCAGATCCAGCATGCAGAGGCCCCACTCTCTCAGTGGCTTAGCTGCTCGCATGGATGGAACACTCACAGGCTCCCCAGTCAGGTTGTATCGTGTGAGTCCTCTAAGGCCGGGGACCTAGGGCCACATCACTCTAGGTGGCTTAGGATTCCTTCTGGAACCTAAGACTCAGAAACTTGGTCTCTGCATGCTTAACTTCAGGAGATGATAGAGGATTCCATGTTACCCACCCTACCCCTGTGGGCATCAACACACAGGGCAGAGCCTACAGTTCTTGCTTGGTGATTATATTTTGAGATTTCCCCTTTTACTTGGTATCCAGACATACCAATTTTCTGAAGCCAAGCTTGTAAAGCAATTTGGCATTTCTGAAATGTGGAATCCAGAAATCATGTCTGTAGGTGCAGGAGAGGACGGAGAAACTTCTATGCTAGATGTATCTAATGCCATCCACACAGACTGTCCATGACTTACGATGGCTGACTTAAAATCTCTTGACTTTAGATGACACAAGAACAACTAGCGGTCACTAGAAGTTGTTCTTCATTCTGAACTTTGACCTTTTCCCAGGAAGACACAGAGCAGTGGTAGCTCTCTACTGTCCCCAGTGATCATGGTGGTAAACTGCCAACACCATTTGGGTTCGTTGTTGCTAAGTTAGTGTCTGGAAGGTTGGAAAACTAAAGGATATTTTAACGATGTGCATTTTCTTCTTTTTTTTGTTTTTTTGTTTTTGTTTTTGTTTTTTTCTAGACAGAGTTTCTCTGTGTAGCCCTGGCTGTCTTGGAACTCACTCTGTAGACCAGGCTGGCCTCGAACTCAGAAATCCGCCTGTCTCTGCCTCCCAAGTGCTGGGATTAAAGGCATGCGCCACCACCGCCTGGCTACAGTGTGCATTTTCAACATACAATGGGGCTTTGGGGGATACAACTCTAAGAGTATTTGTCCAGTACTTGATCTGTGTTTGTCTGGCAGGATAGCTTTTCCTTATAACCGGAAGGCATTTATTTACCCAATGCCTTCACTGCCCACTCTTTTAACTCTTAACTCATCTTAACTAATCCACTTAACACCACCACCAAGATTTACCTCTTCACTTAATGCTTATTAAACAAGACAGAACAAAACAAACCACCCCCCTCCCCCAAGACAGCAGGTCACCCCAGAGTCTGCAGCACATCAGACTGGAAAGGGAAGAAAAGTGTTATGAAAGAAGAGTCTGGGTCCAGGATGGGGGGGGGGCGTCAAGGACAGAGGAGGAGGAGGAGGTGAGGAGGAGGGGGAGAAGGAGGGGGAGGAAGAGAAATCAAATCCCACGATTTTCAGCTTAGGCTTGAGAATAGATCTGCTAGTGACATGACCCAGAACTGGACTTAAATCCCATGAGAAGTGTTCCTCACAACTGCAGAGTAAGAAAACATCGTTCTTATCTCCCGAGAGCTCTCTGCTGTGGCAGTTCGGATAGCTTTGTCATCAGCGGCATTCACAGCCACACAACAACACTATTCTTTATTTTACACTTGGGCTTCATTTGCTACTCCCAAACCCGATTCAAATTCCCCAATGGCAACGTTTGTCTCCTGCATTTTTACCTGTCTTAAAAAGAGAAACTATACATAGCGACTATGTGTGTGTGTGCATGTGTGTGTGTGTGTGTCTGTCGTGGCTTGCACGTGCCATGGTATCTGTGTGAAAACCAGAGGACAACTTGCAAGAATCTGTTCTCTCCTACCATCATGTATGTCCTTTGGATGAGACTCAGGCCAACAGGCTTGGCAGCAAGTGCCTTCGGGAATACTGAGAGACATCCTGCTGGTTCTGTATTCTCTTTTGTAATGCCTACTTTATATACTTACTATGAGCCTGATACTGGTATAGTTCTGTTTGTATATCTTAGGTGCCCCCAAAGTCCTTGAGATGGAGAAATGACTTTTAGGTGTAAAGTTTTACACACTATTCTTTCAAGACTCAAGAGGATAAGGGTGACCTTGGTTGTGATGACAAAAGACACAGCTATAGGTAAGGAGGGTCTCTTCTGACTCTGAGCCGGGTGGCTGAGCTCACGTTAGATTCCAGGTATGAAAGCATGGAAGACTTCCTTGGCTAGATTTGACTTCTGCTGTATTATTTTCTCTGCACCTGATGCCAGTCCTCCAGGCATGAGCTCCCACAGACTCCCCCTACTGCTTCCCCGTGGAAATCCTTTCCCTGGGACACTCAGGGAGCATGACCTGCACAGAGGCAGTAGGGTGGGACACTCATGATGGAGGAGTGATTGATTCGATTCCAACAAGAGGAAGTTCTGAAGCCCAACACCATAACAGAGCTGTCACGCACCTGTACTTTCTTGTTGTCCTGCTGTTCCTTTTCTAGCTGCACCTGCAGCTTCTTCCTCTCCTGCTCCAGTTCCCGCACTCTCTTCTGCAGCTTCAAGAAGACGGTCATGTCCATGGCTGCCTTCTCTATGCCAATCTCCTGCAAAGGAAGAGGGGTGCCCAGAAGGTGGTTTTCACAGTACAGATGCTCCAGAGAACACACAAGGCCTCGCTGCCCACCTCAGTACCAGCCATCTGCCTCCTTACTCCTCCCCAACACCAATCCTTGCCTCCAACACAAAGCCAGCATCAAACTGCTAGTATTTCCCATAGCAAAGCTGGTGTTGCGGCCTTATTCTCTCCCGTACCGTCTCTGTCTCAGCCCTTACAGAGCTCCTGTGTGAGCCGCTTAAACGACCAATCACATATTCTAAGAACAAATGCAAACAGGCACAGGAATTTTCTTTGGAAGGTAAAAGGGAATTCACTTCTGGAAAATGGCATTACAAGAGAGAGAAACTAGATCTCAGGACCATAGTGCTTCCTGATGGGAGATCACTGTGGCCTCCGGTCACTTTCAATGTGACACCAACAAGTACCTGATCATAACCTGAAACAAGCAATACTTGCCCTGTGGTGGAGCCCATTATCTCCAGCAGATCTTAATACATTGATTTCCCAGTATATTTCTGTTCTTTCAGATGCATGGTTGGATTTTACTATGTGGGTTATGTATGTACACAAACATGTGTCTGCCTGTCAGTAGGCAATTTGAGCACATATGCAGCTTGCTTTTACATGCTGGAAGCATTATGATGTTCCACTTCATGTGGTGAGCACAGCCCAGGATCAGTCTCACTGCCTGTGAGCCAGTGCCCATATCTACATGGAAACGGCATCCACACAGATGCTGTGCCTTACGTCCGACTGTGCGTTGCTAAGTTCAGTGCAACCCAGTGATCCTGTTCTCAATGTCTGTGCCCTGGGCTCTCTAAGCCACCACAAAGAGCAGTATATCTCTGTTGTGTAGTTCCATGCAGGCAATTAAATGTCCCCAGCAGGACAACTGCAAACAGTGTCCCAGACTTACCTCCACCTGCTGAAGGGCATCCTCAGTGTCTCCGATTTCTGAAGTGGAAATGGAGGGGTAATTGGAGTCGGATTCTAAGCTACTTTGATTTGATGGGTTCTTTCTGTGGCCCGGAGTTTGCTGCTCAAGGAGAAGAAAAATGTGACAACTCATAGCCAGCTCATAATAATGCGAATAACTTCCAAGGAGCCCTGGCCATCAGTCAGTGCTTCACTTGTCACATCCATGGGCAGTACTGCTCCTTGGAACAGTGGAGAAATAGTTATTCCCGTGTATGCCAGGGAAAAAACTCTACCAATGTGTTACAGCCCACAACATCCAGAGAGCGAGGAGAGAACGGCCTTTCATTCAAGCTGTGCCCTAGGATTGCACACAGTGTGTCCTCTCCACGTTCTCGAGAGGAACCCTTTCTGTAACCCTATCCCATGCAGCCTCTCCTTCCACCCCATTCTGCTCACGAAAATGACAGCCATTAGAAATAGAGCGTACCTTTCGTGCTAGTCATTTAAAAAGATCTTTCCGCTTATTTTTTTGGCAGCTGGTTTGTCTTTACGAGTGAAAACCGAGCTTGGTGGAATTTATAGATTTCTATTTCAGTTCTTATTCAGATTCCTTTCCTGGTTTCCATGCAACTAACTCACTGATGTTGAGTATGTATGTTGGGAGGGAGTATTCATATGGGTAAAGAAGAGCGTCAAATCCTGAAATGTCACAAAAATATCTTGTATCTTGTCAGAGATTAGGAGACTCTCCACATAGACCAATGCAGCTGAGGTCAGAGCCTACAACACCACTGTCTCAACAGTGGAATTTTCTAGAACAAGAAGCAGATGACAATATACACATACAGGAAAATAATTCTTAAACTCTTAAGATCTCAATAAAACCTCAGCTTTCAGAAAGGACATCCTCAGAAAGTGACCACCGGCTGGCAGCTTCCTAACCAGAGTTCACATAGGAACGAAAGAACAAGTGGTTCTTACACACATGCATGTTTACTGAGCATGCCAGTGCCAGAGGACAAGGGCTATAGAGCCAGCTCTAAAAGGGCAGAAAGGGAAGCCATTGCCACCAGGCAGCAGAGCTGCCACCCTTGCCTTTAGGGTCATCACCTCGTCCCGAAGGTTCTCATATCTCTGCTCCAGCTGGGAGTACTCCTTCACGAGGTTCTGGTACCTGGACCGCTCCTCCTCCAGTTCCTTCTTCATCAGGAGATTTTCCTCCACAGAGCTCTGTGAAGATTCAGCTGGAAAGCAGGCACAGGAAGCTGGGTTTCAGCATCCGAGGGGATCCTCAGATGCGCATGCCCTGCTAGGAGCACTCTGACTAATCTCTTGTTAAGAGGCTGCCCACCACAGGCTGGTCCCAGAAGCTGTGGGGGAGTCTCCCAGGCTCCTCACCTAATGTGGAGTTGAGGAGGGGCTCATTATTCTGAACCAAGGGTTCAGACAGGAAGAAGAGTGACCCTGCTCTTAGGAAGGTGGGGAGAGAGACTCTCGATGTACACAAGAACGCCCACCCACTCTGCGTGCCCACCTCTCTTGTGACAACCGACATTAAGAACTGTTGGCAGCGTTTCCAGCTGAACCATTCTAGACTCTCGTTGTTATCTTTATCTTTCAGATCCTCGGAGACTAGACCGGAGGTGATGTAGGGAGAAGCGGGCAAGGAACCTAAGAGATTCTGATGGTCTTTCTTCTCTTGCCAACCTTGTATCCATAGTAACAGAAAGCAGGTTTTTTTTTTTTTTTTTTTTTTAAGGGCAATTTGAAAGCAGCTTGTATTTTCACAAGATCTCAGGCCAGTGGGGGCTGTGGTGTTGCAATGTTTGGCTGCCTGGTGAGATGGGTGAGGGTTGTAAGAGTGGGAGGAGATCTGGTTACCACCGAACAGACAAGAGCTGGATTTACATGCTCCATTGTTCCCCCCCACCCCCCAGCCAAGTGAGTCGCAGGGTGGGTGGCAGTCTGGAAGTTGAGGGGCACTCGAGAGAGGCTCATCTAGGGACTAATCAAAGACCCCGTCTTTCAGCAATGATTAAAGTGACTGTCTGACAGGAGACACAGTGATAAGGATGAACAAGTCAAGTGTAAAACGTGGGTGCTACTGTGCTGAGTGCCAGCTTTGGCACTTCACCTGTGCATCTCGCTCATGCCTCCTACAAGTCCTTCCAGGTCTGTCTTTCCTGCCCATTTTCAGATGGATACTTGCACACGCTTACAGTGCTGTGCATAGCAGTGTCACGCTTTGAGTACAGGTCTCCAGATACAAACTCGCATGGGTGGTTTTGCACATAAAGTATGAGATTCCCTTTCAATAGACTCTTCAAACTAATGGCACAGCAGGATCTTAAAATTGACCTTCCTTTTCCCCAGCTCTCCCTTAGGAAGCCCTTCCTCCTCTTCATCATCTAGCAGGCTAGGAAAACCAGTGAAGAGCAGCGTAAAAAGCTGGTTTGGCACGTACCTTCTGACTGGCGCAGGATTTGGTTGTTAAGATATTCTTTTTCATCCTTCAAGAGAGCATTTTCATGTTCCAGGTCTGCAACTCTCTGAAAGAGATCAACAGGTAAAATAAAACAAACCAAAAACCAGAAGAAAAAAAAAAACTTCCCATGTAGTGACAGAAGAGGAAATTGCTTTTGGAGTTCTGCTGGATCATGGGTAAATGCTCTACTTAGGAAAAGAGATTCAACCAAAGCTGCTTTCATTTTGAAGGAAAATTATGTACACAGAGAAAAAAAATCCAAGTTAAACGAGATGAAATGGCTCAAACCACTTGTGGTCATCCAGGTCTCCCAGAGAGCCCTACAGTTTATACTCCGCTCACATTCCTTATTGAGGAACGCACAGAACAGAGAGCCTTCCATGCTTGTGAACCTGTCTGTCTCTCTTGCTGAATCATGAGCGTCAAATCTGAGTCTTGGGAAAGCCAGACACTCATAATGGGCACGTCATCTCTGGTCTTTGTCCCCTCTGCCCTTTCCTGCTTCACTGGAAAGTTCCAGGCTCTGAAAGAGGGAGACACATGTGGTACTGACACTCAGATATCTAATTCCAGCGTGGGGCTCCTGACAACATGGCCAAAAGGGAAACATGAGGTGATGGAATTTTGGTGGGTCATCGGTAAATGCCCTACTTAAGAAAATCGATTTAACAAAAGGCGAATATGACTGCATCAAACAATCAATCAATCAACCAATAGTTAAACAAGGAAAAGAGGCAATATTAAAGAAGAATCTTGGACTTCTGAAGAGAAAAAAATTGTGATTATGAAAATAAATATTTGTATTTTTATAGTAACAATATAGGTGAATGTTCTAAAAGACTTTGAAATCATTAGTTGATATTAAACATGAAATAATGGCCCAGGGGCCCAGAAATCCTATTCCTAACTATAAACCTAAGAGGAATAAAAACAGTTCTAGAATTTACTGTAGCTCTAATTCAAGCCTGTGTATTTACTTCCTCAGTCAGCCTATATTTACATGATAACACACAATGATCCACCGAACTCATGCATATCACATAGTCAATCCAAGCCCGTGACCACTGAGAGGAGCCTTCTCAGCCCTCTTACTGACATCCGGTCTAGTAATGTGATTTCATTACAATTCTATCATACTTTTATCTGTTCCACAGGTGAGATTTCAAGCTAGTATTATAAATCCATGGCTGAGACCACAGGCCTTGATGAGGTACTTACTGTTGTTGTTTTGGTAAATGGTTCTGTCAAACTACCTTCTAAATACTTATGTTTATACCCTTAAGTGTTTACTCCTTACAGCTCTGTCAGAGAAGCTAAGTTTTGCATGGGTAGTAGCTGATGCAGAGTCATAACTGGTCAAAATGACAAGTTTAAGTCATTGTCAGTGCTCGCTGTGGTCATCCATATCAAATGTCCTACCTCCTGCCCAACCAAGACTCGGGGACACACTACAGAGGAATGGGCAGAAAGGATGAGGAAAAGCTGGGGGATGAAGAAGAGAGGTGTAGAATATCAGCTTCTGCATATGACTGTTATTCACACTAACTTACAGCAGTGGTGGGTACCTGCACATGAACAAGGCAGGAAAAAAAACCCCAGCAATGATGGGGCAGGGAACTTAGAGGTTCCACCCTTGATGGAGAAACTATGGGCAGCTGATACCTACTCAGAAAAGAAGAGTCATTCTCCTTTGAGGACATGGTCACTGGTAGGTTGCCCATGACTCAGTGGATACCCCATACCATGTGTATATGGGCAGCAGTAATCAGACTCAAGGAGTTATTCTAACCAAGACAAAAAATAAGGGCATCAAGTTTTGGAGTGTGGGACATCAGGAAGAGTCGGAAAGGAATAGTAGTGATGGATTTAAATAATAAATTTAAAATAGTTTAAAAATGAAGGGGTGAGAGGCCAGTGAGATGGTATCTCAGAGAGAATGGTGACTGCCATCAAGCCTAATGGTCTGAGCCTAGTTCCCAGGACCCACATGGTAGAAGGACAGGACTGACTCTTAAAAGATATCCTCTGACCTAGACACACACACACACACACACACACACACACACACACACACACAGAGAGAGAGAGAGAGAGAGAGAGAGAGAGAGAGAGAGAGAGAGAGAGAGAGAGAGAGAGGACAATGTTGTTAAATCTGTAGATTAAAACTTGCATCTGCAGGATAGCCCAGAAGATGTGCTTCAGTCATTCCCGAGCTCATAGAGCCTCAATCCAAAGGACAGAGCTGCTTCTCTCTGGAGGTTTCACAGGCTACAGCTGTTCCTGAGATCAGAAGGCGCTTCTAGGTCTGACCCCCATCTCTGCCAAATCACTAGTACCCTTCTTCTCCTGGATTCTTGGAACAACTCGGGACCAGCACAGAAGTCCTCATGGCTAACTCTCACCTCTCACTTAGAGAGGTGCCTCTGGTGGAAGCATACCCTGTCCCCTAAGGTCACCCTCCATCTCCTTTGCTCATCTTTCTTATGGCATGTGGATGGGTAATCTCAGAAGGACTCCAATCTCTACCTTCTGTTTTCCAAGAATGAAAAAACTCTTTTTGATTATTATTTTTGTTCTACTGTGTAGAATGGTCTCTGGCACACAAGGCACTCAATAAATGCCTGCTGAGTGAAGGACAATGACTTCTATCATTCTGTGCAAGACCTGTCACCCACAGGGATGAGTTAAAGCTCCTCCTAACAACTGTCAGCCTTTTCATGAAACCACAAATCCTGAGCCAATGAGAATGCAACCCTGAATATAGCAGGCCCAGGAATCCCTGAGGACTCAACACACGAGAGCCATGTATTCTCTCCAGACAGACCCCTCTGTTTCCACTCAGCAAAATCTCAAACCCAAGGCCACACACTGGAGTCAGCCAAGGAAACCCATCAGCAGAGGTAGTTCTATGACTGATAAGATGCACACACAACCTGATGTACCAGTATGAGCACTCAGGACCTCGGGCCCACTAGACATCTGGGCCATGCCAAGGCTGCTTCAGGGCCAAGCTATGGGTTACTTTTCCTCTTTTCCTGCAACCTTGCACTGAGCCAGGCTCAGTGTACCCTTCAGAGCAGCACATTCTGAATTAGGAGCTACTGCCTCCATGCCAAGGGCAGCCCAAGGAGCCACCTCCTTTCCAGATAGCAAGGGCACACAAAACAGCACAGCTGCACGAAGGCGGCCAGAGAGTGATGCTCAGGCTTTAAGATGGTACAAAAGGAACAAAGAGTCCTAGTGAGCTTCTCTGTGGAGAGGCTGAAGCAATGTCTCCCTTAGTATAAAATGATAGGCGGGAGTGTGATGGGGGCAGCTCCATGCCTTGTGGACACAGAGGTGGATTCCTGTGGTAGCCCGCAGCACTGCCATGTGGTCTACCAGGTAAAATCATCAGAGGTTGCAGCCCCAAGTGTTCCAGCATGCCAGTTCCAATACAGCATTTGCAGTTTCTGCTGACAGAAACATCAAACCCATTAATTAAACATCTACCAGCAGCCTGCTTCGTCCCTGGGCTTTGCTGGCTTCATCAATCTCACTGAATGCAGAGACAGACCCTGGACCTGACCAGAAGGAAACCAACTGTCTTATCATTCAGCACATGCTCAGACTGGAGACTGCCTCTGCTGAACATTAAACCCCAGCTAGGCAGATCCTAGAATAGAAACCAGGAGCAGCTGTCTCTTGACCATTCTTCAACTACTGCAATAAAGGGTTCCACAGACCTGACAGAAAGAAGAATGTCTGTTTTCCATTTCCTAAAAAGAGTGATTATCCCACTTAATTGATCATTTTATGCCCGTCTTTTGAGGTTGTTCACATTAGGCAAGTGTTTGTTGGAGTTAGAGAGGAGGGTCTTAACTGGATACAGTGGTGCATGGTTTTTATCCCAGCATGTAGGAGGCAGAGGCAGGTCCATCTCTGTGAGTTTGAGGCAGGCCTGGTGTACATAGCAAGTTCTAGGCCAGCCAGTGTTATAGAGTGGAACTTCATCTCCAAAGACAGCACGGGGAGCAGGTGTCCTTGCTCTTCTCCCAGCTCTAGTTTTATTCAATCTCAAGGCCAACAAGCTCCTAGGCAACAGCCATTTTTAAAAGAGACTTTGCTTCTCTGTTTTGTTCTACCAAGGAAGTTTTCTTACAACAAACCCTTACCTACCTTTGACTGGAAAAACCAGCTATTTTAGGTGCTCCGAGACACTGACTCAAAAATTTTGTGGGAAGCAGGGAAGGCAAATGAGAGTTCATAGTTCTCAGCTCGGGGGAGGAACCAGGGCAGTGGAAGAACCAAAGACCAGAAAGCAGGGATGAAGTCTGCTCCTCAGTTAGAAAACACACAAGATTGCATGTGTTGGCCAGTCCAGGAGCAATCTTAGAGATGAGCAAGGCCATGTGTACATGTGTATTTATGTACACACACACACACACACACACACACACACACACACACACACACACACGTGCACCATGGCTGGTAGGGGTTCTTACACGCACATGACAACATAGGTAGGGTTAGGGCCAGTATTCCTGGGTGTGCCCAGGGCTGCCAGCATTGTCTCAATTTCCGAGCTTTTCTTCCAGCACTAACTAACCAACACTGACTCTCCTTCCTCAGGCTTCCAGTCCATTGGCTCTGCTCTGTATGTTGGACAGATACTAAAGTGTGGGCAATGCACTCTAGTGCATCTAGTGGGGTCATGGTGGAGAGGAGGAGGACACAGGTGTTCTCAATCCATAGCCATCCCTCCAGTGGCACTGTGGGACTTTTCCTTGTTGGAAGATCTGCCTTGGGAGTTCAGAAGAGCTTCTTTGAAGCTGAAAGTCAGGAGCAGTAGAGGCAACAACAGGAAGTCCTATTTCATGGACTTCCTTAAGTAAGCCTTAAGAACAAGAGCGGGAAAGTTGGCTCCAGCCAGCAGGGTAGACCCCCCTTCTCCCAAACATAAGGGTTTCCTGGTGAGCATGATGGCTACAGGCTGCTGAAGCCCTAGAACACTTAGCACCTGTCACCTTTCTCACTAAGGGCTAGATCTGTAGAGTTTCCCTGGGGACTGACTGGAGGCTTTAAGAAAGATGAGCAAAGTCAGATGCCATTTACTCTCCCAAGGGATGCCACAAGGCTTAGCTAATGATACCAGCTCAATCAGCACTCGCTCAGGGATCAGACATTTGCTATAAGATCCAAATGCACATCGGTTTATGAGATGAGGGGTGGCTTGTCTGTGGACACAAGCCCTGGAAAACCCGGAAATTTCCTCAGCATGAGGAAACGTCTCCTACAGGTGCTCTGCCCACCAGCCCTTCACCAGTCCTGGTCCTCCAGTGCATACATACCTTTCTTAGCTCGCCATTCTCCTTGTTGTGAGCATCCTCTAGGACCCTGCGCTCCGACTGAGCCTTCTGTAGTTCAGTGCGCAGGCTCTGTACCTCCTCCTGCAGCTGAAGGCTGGTATCAGCCTCCTGGTTCTGCTGGTAATGCGCCAGTTCCTTCTTCAGCTTCTCCACCTCCATGGCATGTGTGGAGGTAACTGCAGACAACTGCTCTGACAGAGTCTTGAACTCTTTGTTCTGTAGAGAGCATCGGCAGATGGGGTGGGGATGCAGATAATAAAGAAGAAAAAGAGGGGGTTATCAGACCAGGAAAAATCATGAAGGCCACCAGAAAAAGACTTGTAGGGCAGAATTAGAGTTCAGAATCAATACATGCCAATACAGGCAGTCTTGGGGCATCCCGGACACTTTAAACTCATGTGTGGACCTAGAAGCAGAGGGAGACACGAACAGCAGTGTTGACATGGAAACAGTCCAGGGAAAACATGTGAGCACTCACAGAGAAGATTGCTGTCATAGGAATAATGGAGCCAGCTTCTTGGATCTGCAGTTTTGGCCTCTTAGGACTCCCCACCCCTTCGAATCAAGAGCTTCTAGCCTTGGACTTACAGGCACAAAGAGCTGTAACCTAATCCCTTTCTCTGAGACAAAGGACCCCTTCAGTATCCTCTCTTTCAAGGAGGCCCTCCAAGGGGCCCCAGGGTCTCTTTTGCCACCTGTCAACATGGCTCACACAACTCTCACCGGAGAGATTGACATCTGACAACACTCAGCTACAGACTGTGTACCCAATCAGCAGTCAGCTGATGTGTGCAGCAGGCCCTGAGATCCTACTTCCAGAATGAGGTTCAAGTAAAGGACGGGCAGAAGTTGGGGCTGGGAGGATGGAGAGGCTGGGAGGCAGGGGAAGTGGAGCAGGAAGTGGAAGAGGAGGGAGAACGCCCAGAATCAGGAGGCAAGCAGCACTCATTGATCATTCTTCATTGCTGGGCTCCACAGAAACTCCAAGCAGAACAGGGGCCGTCAGCTAAAATGCCAAAAAGCCAGGGCCTCGGGAATCAATGACTAATTCACAGAAAAATGAAGCCTCACAGAAACTCTCAAAGAAAAGCTGTTGGCAGCTACATAGCAGCACACGGCTCACATAGGCCTGCTTGAGAATGCAAGTGATATATTCCTCGTGTGCAAGATTCCCCACTCTGCAAGCTCCAGGTACAGCCTGCTTCTCCGAATATCTGGGCTTGCTGTCAGCCTCACCTGGAGAATCTAAAAGGGGTCCAGTTAAGCGGCTTCTATTTAGGAAGAGCAACACCTGTGTGGATTGTTCACTAGGGTCTGGGTCTACAGTGGAAGGCAGGTTTGGCTAGCTACTCTCTGTCCTCACGTCTGCTCTGGGACGTGAGTCAGGTCAGATTGGTTGTCAAGTGTCACTGGCATGGCCTGGGCCATGTCAACAAGGGTTAGTGAGATGGCTGAGGAGGAGCCTGGATGGAACTGGTTGGAATATAAAGAGAGGAACGCATTGTAGTGGGGACAGTGGATGCAGGCACATCTCACACTGCTATGGTCAAATACGTCACTTTGGAATGCAGATGTTTCTGGAAGGCCCAGCTTTCCTGATCCTGATGGTACTAGAGACCAGACTCAAACACTGGGGAAGAAGGTGTCTGCTGGTGCCAGGCCTGGGCCTGAGCTCACCTCATCCTTGGCCCTCTTGTGTGTGTGGTTCAGTCATTCATGTTTCTGTGGCCCACTTCTTCTCATATACACTAAAGATAAGAGAAATTCCCATCTGAGAAGGTCATTATTGAGATGTAGGGAACAGAGGGCTTATCTGGCATGTGCCACACAGTCAGTGCTCAGTAACTGTCAGAGCGCCTCACTGGCCTGTGTTCTCCATGGAGTCCCTCAGGCTGATTCACAGAAGCCTCTGCTTCTGCCAGTCCCAATGCCCACTCATCACCACCACCCCCTAACATTCAAACAACCCCTGCATCTGGCATCCCATGGCTATTTTGTATCTTAAACATGGGACCCACACAACCAGCCTTATTGTGGTTCCCAGTCAGACTTGGGCTGGTGTGGGAAGAGGGAAAATCACTGCAAGAATCATCGTGGTGAAGGCAACACAGTCTCCTGCAGGTGAGCACTCACTTTGGATGAGCACTATACCCCGTCCATGCCTATGAGCATCGCCTTCAGCAAGGGTGACTGATAGCCCCCGAATAGTTCACAGCAGTGACTACTGGGCTGTGGAAGAGTCCCAGAGCTGTAACTTTCTCTACACTGTTTTTCTAACATGTATGGATGCCCTCAAGAATCATAAAATATGGACTAATGTAGTATTTACTTAGTGGCTATTAACTATGCCTAATCCTTAGTGGCTACTAACTATGCCTAATTGAACTGATTTAAAGGACACTGACTGAACTGTCGATTTAGGTTGTATTTTGCCTAATAAAAAATATTTAAGCACAACCTTATATTTATGAGGGCCTAAGAACCTTGAGTTCTATTACAAGTAACTAAAAATCTGGCCATGTCTATCATACTGGCCAAGTTCATGGTCTTCTATCCTTTTGGTTGAACTGTCATGTAGTTCTAACAGGGCTAATACCAGGTTTCTGGGTTGGTCTCTGTTTCTGCTGCTGAAAGGTATTATGAAGGACACCACAAAGAAGGTAGCTTATGACATCAGAGACTAGAAACCCACAAGAAAACTGTGTTAGCATCAGGGACAGCTCTGGGCTCCTGATTGCCCAGTTTCTTTCCGAGGGACTCTCATGTGACTCTGTCCTGTGCTGACGGCACACAAGCTTGGTACATAGTCCGCTTTCTGAAGCCAGGGGTCCTTAGCCTTAAGACATGAATGTGGGGTGCTCATCTTTCCTGGTTTTGCCTTTCCCTGTCCTTCCCACGCTAGTGGGGATACTCTCACCAGACTCCTGTCTCCTGTGACTGAGACACTGTCTCCCATGTCATGTATTCTGAGAAGTGACTTGGGATGCTTTATCTCTGGCAATGGACATCTTAAAGACTGAAGAGAGCAGCTGCCTAGATTAGCTCTAGGAATCACAGGGGAAAAGACACTCAACTTACTCTCAATAGCTGGTCTGCTTACCAAGGGATCTCCAGTGCCATGGTCATATGTGTCCATGTGTGCCCACAGTGACGTGTGCCCAGTGATGTGTGCCCATGTGTGCAGTGATGTGTGCCCATGTATGCAGTGATATGTGCCCATGTGCACACACATAGCAATGTGTACCCATGTGTGCCCACAGTGATGTGTGCCCAAGCTTCTGCCACCACAGGTGCCAACACCAGTCCTGAGGATATGAGACTTTCATGAGCATGGCTCCAAACTGACAGGAGAGTCTCTGTTTGGACTGAAGAGCATTCCTCAGATGTCCCAAGAGCCTCCTGCTGGGAGTGATCTAGAAACCCAGCCAGAGGTGGCAAAGCCTGCCTGAAAGCAGTGTCAACCTCAGCCAGGCTACTTCCTGGCTGTGCGCCCTTTGATCATCCCCTTTGTGCCCTCAGCGTGTTCATGTTTAAAATGGGGATGATAGCAATACTTATCCTGTAGGCATGGTGAAGACCAGTGGGTTAGTGTATGGGAATAGTGCCTGGCATGAAAACCACACGGGAAACAGTGAGAGAAAGACACATGATTACTCGCTGCATACAGGGAGCCTTGCCCAGGGTGACAGCATCTGCCACTGCTCACAGATGTTTGCTGAGCAGAAAGCTTAAGGCAAGAGCTTCATTTAAAAATAGGCCTTTCAAATCTGCTTCTGTCTGATGTTCAAGCATGTGGGGTGGGAATACGGTTATTTATATCCTTTGGAGTTGACCTCACACATCAACGAGGCCAATATCTGAGCACTATCTGAAACCGGGGCCAGGGCGGCCTGGGCATACAGATGCCCCTCCTTAGTAGGGACAGTGGCTTTGGTCTCCTTGTTCTCTGGCCTCTGTGTGTCTAGAAAAGTGGCTCAAATGGTCACTGGCACTGACAGTCCTGACAGAGACAGTGGACACCGTGGTACTTTGTATTTTCACAGATCTCTCCCCTGTTCACTGCCTCCCTGACTTGTTGTGTTACCACAGGCTGACCAGGGTAGCAGTGAGTGTCCCAAGCTCACACTGGGAGGGCTGTTGTTTTATGCTGAGCATCTGTACTGGCTGGTTTTGTGTCAACCTGACACAAGCTAGAGTTAGAGTCATCAGGAAGGAAGGTGGCTCAGAATGCCTCCATGAGATCCAGCTGTAGGGCATTTTCTCAATTAGTAATCAACTGGGGAGATGCCCAATGGGTGGTGCCATCCCTGGGCTTTTTTGTCCTGGGTTCTATAAGCAAGATGGCTGATCAAGCCATGGGCAGCAAGGCAGTAAGCAGCATTCCTCCATGGCTTCTACATCAGCTCCTGCCTCCAGGTTCCTGCCCTGTATGAGTTCCTGTCCTGACTTCCTATGATGATGAACTGTGACAAATAAACCCTTTCCTTCCAAACTTGCTTTTTGGTCACAGTGTTTCATCACAGCAATAGTAACCCTGACTAAGACAGCACCCAAGCTAGTACTCTGGGTAACTCCCAGAGAACACATATCTAGGGCTCTTCTAGAAGTCTGGTCTCTGCCCAGAGCCGGAAAGCAAAGTGTCCCACTGTCAGCTGTATCCAGATTGGGGTTCATGTGTAGGACAGCTGGCTTAGCCAAAAATTGTTTCATTGTACTGGGAATGTGACTCAGTTGGCAGAATGCTTGCCCTAGCATGAAGCAGCAATGAGCCCTAGCAGGGCACAAAACTGAGCCTGGTAGCCCACCCCTGTGCTTCCAGCATTTAGGATGTGAGACAGAAAGATCAGAGGTTCAAGGTCATTCTTGGCTGTAAATGGAGTGCAGGCTAGCCTGGATTACATGGAAGTCTATCTTTAAAACTACCAGTAAAAAAATCAAACCAAATCAAAATGACTCACCTATTTTCCTGCCCTCAGGCTCCAAAAATGCCTAGTATAACCTGGGTACATTAAGATCAAGTGTCCCCCTCTGCCATGGCCAGTCCCCCTCTGCCATGGCCAGTCCCCC